GGCTACCATGGTACGGCTACGACTACCAGTGCGTGCGCACCGGTCCCGACCGGACCTGCTTTATCAAAGAGGTGCCCTTCCGTAACGTTAGCTGTAGCGATGCCGCCGGTGTTCAGGTGCCGTACGTCGAGATCAAACACCTGGTGGACATTTACGGGGACTGGTATGACGAGCACTCGACCACCCGTTACGCCTATTTCAATGTACGGATCATTTGTTAAAACTATACAGTATTACCTCAATATAAGGGACACAGATTTATGTGATAAGAATTTGTAAACTAACCCACGCCACCGGAACATCTGTGTCCCTTATAGCCAGGCATTACTGTATAGTGTATTTGCATGTTTGTAAAATACTGTACGTAAATAATTTATACCATGTTTCTATTTCATAGGACTCGGCCAACGTTACCCACCAGATCTGGTACGACACGTCCGGGAGCCTGGGTATGAAGGTTGGGTTAGCCAAGTATAGGGAGTTGAGAGGTGTGGGCGTCTGGAACGCCAATATGTTGGACTACTCGGGCACTAAAGAGGGTAAGTATATGGTGGCCGACATGTGGGGCACTTTCCCCGAGTATAAGGCCAACAAAACCGAGGCATTCGTTGTCCACCCAAACCACCGCCGCATCTATGAGTCCATTAGAGTATCCGATTTTGTCAATGTTTTGCCAGCATTTAAATGATGTGTGGCTTTAATGATTGGTTTTGTATAATAAATGATTATTTTTGTGAACTTATAATATCATTGATTTCTAAATAAATGCAATTTTGTATTCAATTGAATTAGATTAATTAAATTTTAAGTTTATTTTGAGACTAACGTGTAAATAATTACATTTACACATAAATAAGATTTAAATGCATGTTTACAATAAGTTTATAAATTGTGTTTAAATAGTATTCAATACAATAAATGATAAGTTACTAAATGTTTTAACTCTGAAAAAAGTCCTCCAATTCTCGTAAGTCTTCATCGGATTTAAGAAATTGTGAGACAATGTTATCGAATAGAAAACCAATGATCTGTTTGTATGATTTGGTCTCAAACTCGGGAACAGTTGTCTTAATTATTCTCCAATTTTTCATTAAATTATTAAATGAAGAGATATTTTCAAACTTTTCTTTAATGAGATCCCAATCGATGGACAACTCGTCGTCGAAATTGTATTTGAATAAACAATATATGAGTTTTGAAGTGTCTTTGAGTGACCACTTGTCCACCAATTGATCAAAGTTTGCAATTTTCCAACGAAGAGAAAGAGTCCAACGATGACGGCATTCAATTTCACTTCTATTCAGTTGCGATAAATCTCTCGTTTCTTTGTATTTAATATTTTTAGTAAATATATGTTGTGTTAAGTCATCCGTATTTAACACCGATTTCAAAGCATTTATTAGCCGCAAGTCTTCATCGGGAGTCCAGTGGCCCCTATCATAGAGCTGTCCATCACTGTTATAGTTTGCCCTAATATTTTGCGCAACAATTAGTGGATCGCATTGAAATGTTTCGGCAATTTTAGTCCATTTGTTGCCATACATTGAATGCAATGTCTTTATATTCTTCCTCTCATTTGTGGTCAAATCCTTCATTTTAATCAATGAATTAAACCTAACTCTCGCTCTTTGATAAATCGTGTTAAGCGTACGGTTAGGCAAACCATTGCCTAATCTCAGGAAAAACTTTTCACGTTTCATAAATTCCCGAAACTTTTTTCTATCGGTTTTACTGTATTTAACACTTCGGGAGAAAAACCCCAATAAACGTGTTTTCATGTCTTCATCGCAATTGTATTCATCACAAAATGTTTGCCAATTGTTTGTTAAGATTTGCTTCTCATATGAACTAAATCTGGTTTTAATTACTTTAATGTTATTTTCTTTCACTAATTGTTTCTCTTTTGGGCCAAACTTTGGATAAGGAATCAATAGATGTAACGGAGAGTCACTTATAAGGCATTTATTATTCACATTATTATTATCACAAGTGGTCACTGAATTCACAATTACTTTATTATTGACTAAATTATCACATATTTTAATACTATTGTTGTCATCGTTTGAAATATCAATGGTTTCAATACTTTGCATACATTTATCACTTGACACTCGTTTGCCATTCATTTCACTCGTATTTAACACACAATTTAATGACTTATTTTCAGTACAATTAGTATTTATGTTATTATTATTGACTGAAATGACAGACAAATCATTATTTTTCAATTCATTTGAAGCATTGATTTCATTGCAAACGTTTGTCACAACAAAACCCTTTCGTTTCAATGATTTATTACTATTATTATTATTTAATCTCTTTTTATAATCCAGTTTACAATCAATTGATTTAATAGTAAATCCTTTACAAACACTCATTTTTTGAACATTTGTTAAATAAAACACACATTAAATCAAATTCAAAACAAACACAACAAACAACACGTGTTTTCAATGTTTTCCTAACACTACTGTATTGACAGTACATTTACCACGTTTTGCACACGACTTTCAAACTCATTGTAAAACCTCATCATAAATAGGCATTTTTTATCCACAGTAAAATTAATTAGAAAATATACAAAAATTTATAATTTTATTTAGAAAATAATATAATACAGTATTTAATGTGTTTGTACCAAATTATACATCGGTGGACAACATATGGTCGGTAAACACTCGCGGGTAATGTTTGGACAGATATGTGTTTCCATTAATGTCAGTGACATTTACTGAAAAATTTATGTTTATATAAAAATTACAATTATTTTATTTTTAATAAATGTTTTTAAGAATTATTTACTAAATTTGCAATAAAAACTATTTTAATTTCTTAATTTACTGTATTTTAATTTAGCTCAAAATTAAAGTGTAATTATTAATTTAATTTATTATAACAGAAATATTAATTAATTCTTATAAACAATATCTTCAATGAGTTTAGCGATCACTTCTTTATCATTGCTTTCCCTAATCCTATCGCCAATTGATTTCATTCTTTGAGCCAAATCTGAATCGTTAACCAATTTGTCGATTGATGTCAACAATTCCTCTTCAGTGCAATGGAAAGGATTCAGTCTTAAGCCCAAACCCGTCTCCTGCAGGCGCTGTGCGTTGTCGTACTGATCACCAAATAGTGGTAACACAAGCATTGGTTTGCCGTAAAAGAAAGTCTCGGTCACAGTATTGTTGCCGCCGTGTGTTAGCACTAAATCAACTAATGGTAAGATCGCTGTCTGCGGGAGGAA